TTGTGGATCCAAACAAAATGAAGTCTTTGACAACTTTAATCTTTTCTTCATGTATCATTTTATTTATTGGTCCATTGAGGTGCAAGCCACAATGAAGACTGTAATCTTTGATCTTTATCAGTATGTATTTCAAGTCCTTTTCACTGCAACAAGCAAGGTTATGTCATCTGCATAGCACAAGCTATTAGTAATCCTTCCTCCAATCCTGATGTAATGTTCTTCTTCATATAATCAAGTTTTTCTGGTTATTTGTTTAGCATGCAGGTTGAATAATTATATGAAATGATATATTTACAGTCCATAAAAACTTGCTCTTCAGCTACATTACTCTTATAGATATATTAAACATAGATTTGGTTTCAAGATACAAAACTATATGCCTCTGAACCCACTATCATGAAACTGGCAAGGGATGGAACTATTAGCATGTTTGGACTAATCAGATTGTAGTGTGGGATGGCCAAAACACTGACTGCCAAATTTTGCTCTTGTAAACTGGACCATCATTTCAGTAACAGATTTGTTGCTTTAGATACTAATGACCAAAGACCAGAAGAGTTATGGGTGACATCAAGGACACCATACAGGAAGAAAGAAAAAAGTCATTAAGAAGGTGAGAAAGAAGGAAAAGAACAAAATTGGTGTAAGAAGAGACTTGGAAACTGGATCTCCAGTGTAGAGATACTAAAGCAAATGGAAGAAATGAGGAAGTAAAAAAGTAAAAAAGAATTTCAAAGGGCAGCTCAAGAATACAAAGTCAAGTATTATAATGAAATGTGCAAAGACCGGGAGCTGGAAAACCAAAAGAGAAGAACACGGTCAGCATTTTTCAAGTTGAAAGGACTGAAGAAAACAGTCAAGCCTTGACTTGAAAGATTGAAAGATTCTATGGGCAAAATATTATATAATGCAGAAAACATCAAAAGAAGATGGGAGGAATACAGAGTCACAGTCAATATTTATGAATGCAGCAGTCAAAAATCAAACAAGGAATTGCATTAGGCAAATTGCTGCACAAGTCCTCTTTAAAATGTTGCAGAACAAAAATATCAATTTGAGGACTAAAGTGTATCTGACTGAAGCCATGGTATTTTCAATAACTTCATATGCATGTGAAAGTTGGACAGTGAGTAAAGAAGACCCTAAAATAATTGATGCATATGAGTTATGTGTTGGAGGAGAATATTAAAAATAATATGGATTGCCAAAAGGACAAATCTGTGTTGGAAGAAGTACAGCCAAAATACTCCATAGACGTCTGGCCATTCTGGCCATCTCTCATACTTTGGACATATTATCAGGAGGAACCAGTCCCTGGAGAAGAGGATCATGTTTGGTAAAGTGGAGAGTAAGTAAAAAAGAGGAAGATCCCCAATGAGATGGATTGGTACATTGGCAGCAACAATGGACACAAGTGTAGCAACTTATATGATGTTGGTGTAGGATTAGGCAGTATTTTGCTCTGTTGTGCATAAGGTCACTATGAGTCGGTATTGATTTAACAGCACCTAACAACAACAACCCACTACTCGTCTGTAAGTTTGGTGTCCTGTGGTGGCTTGTGTGTTGCTGTGATTCTGAAAGCTATGCCACTGGTATTTTAAATACCAGCTGGGGCACTCATGGTGGACAGGTTTCAGATGAGCTTCCAGACAAAGACAGACTAGAAATAAAGAGTGATGAACTATTTCTTAATATTTTGTCACTGAAAACCTTCTGAAAATCAGAGAAACACTGTCAAATATAGTACTGGAAAATGAGTCCCTCAGATTGGAAGGCACTCAAAATGTAACTGGGGAAGAGCTGCCTCCTCAAAGTATAGCTGACCGTGATGATGCAAATGGAGTAAAGCCCATGGGAGAAAAGCCCACGGAACCTTCATTTGCTGATGGGGCAAAACTCAAAATGAAGAGAAACAGCTGTAAACATCCATTGAAAATTGGAACATGGAATGTATGAAGTATGAATCTGGGAAAATTGGTAGTTGTTAAAAATGATATGGAATGAATAAACATCAATATCTTTAGACATTAGTGAGTGGAAATATACTGGTATGGGCCATTTTGAATCTGACAACCACATGGTTTACTATTCCAGCAATGACAAATTGAAGAGGAATGGTGCTGCATTCATTGTCAAAAAGAACATATCCAGATCAGTCATAAGGTACAACGCTGTCTGTGATAGGATAATATCTATGCATCTACAGGGAAGCCCAGTTAATACCACTATTATTCAAATTTAAGCACCAACGACTAAAGCCAGTGAGGATGAATAGAAGAATTCTACCAATTTCTTCAATTTGAAATTGATCAAACATGCAATCAAGATGTATTGAAAATTACGGGTGATTGGAATGAAAAATGGGAGCAAAGAGGAAGGACCAGTAGTTGGAAAATATGGCCTTGGTGGTTGAAATGATGCTGGAGAATGCATGATAGATTGCTGAAAACCAATGATTTGTTCATTTTAAATATCTTCTTTAGACAGCATAAAAGATGACTATATACAGGGACCACACGAGATGGAATACATAGAATCAAATTGACTACATCTGTGGAAAGAGACGATAAAAAAGCTCCATATCATAAGTGAAAAAAAGGCCAGTAGCAGACTGTGGAACAGACCATATGCAGATTCAAACTGAAGTTGAAGAAAATGAAAACAAGTCCACAAGAGCCAAAATATGACCAGAATATATTCCATCTGAAATTAGAGATCATCTGAAGAACAGATTTGATACATTAAAGACTAAAGACTGAAGACCAGAAGAGTTGTGGAATGGCAGGAATATCATACATGAAGAAAGCAAAAAGTCATTAAGAAGACAAGAAAGAAGGATGTCAAAATGGATGTCAGAAGAGACACTGAAACTTGCTCTCTAGTGTAGAGATGATAAAGCAAATGGAAGAAATGAGATCAAAGAGCTGAACAGAAAATTTGAAAGATCAGCTCGAGAAGATAAAGCCAAATATTACAACAAATGTGCAAGGATCTGGAGTCAGAAAACCAGAAAACCAAAAAGGAAGAACACGGTCAGCATTTCTCAAGCTGGGGGGACTGAAGAAAAAATTCAAGCCTTGAATTTCGTTATTGAAAGATTCTCTGGGCAAATGATTGAAAGCATCAAGAAAAGATGGAAGGAATACACAGAATCACTGTACCAAAGGCAATAGTTAATGTTGAGCTATTTCAAGAGGTAGCATATAATCAAGAGCCAAAGATACTGAGGGAGGAAGTTCAAGGTGCATTTAAGGAATTGACAAAGAACAAGGCACCAGGAATTGATGGAATACAAATTGAAATCTTTCAAGAAAGTGAGGTGGCACAGGAGGTACTCACTCATCTCTGTCGAGAAATTTGGAAGACAATCATCTGGCAGACTGATTGGAAGAGATCC